AACAGAACTGATTGCAACAAACCCAGGACAGGGCAGGAATCACTGCCTCCTTACAACCCAACATACTGCCTCCGGCAGTGGAGGTAAAATGCAGCCATCATAGCTAGTAGCCTTTGATAACTTTGTCCCCCATGTGCACTGCACCTATTTACCATAATTATTATCCAACTTTCCAAAAACGTAACACTTCTCAAAATGGTTTGACCCCTTTCTGTTTTAGCAATACGAATTCCACAAATATTATCCATATTTCCTCAAAATCATTTCTCTTCCATTTCCCCCTTCTTACTTTAATAGCACATATTAATTTATCATTAATAGTTATATACCACACGTCTTTCTACCATTCTTCTGTTTGATATCCACCTTGCTTTTTTCCCCCAATTCCTGGCTATGATAATTCTTGCCGCTGTCAACAAATTTGTGAGTATATCCTTCATAGCTTGCGTACATTTAACCTTAGCAGTGCTATTTCTGGACGTTCATTCTGCGTTAACTCTGTTAATTCTCTTATCTCACTAAACACCCTTTGCTCAAAGTTTACTGCATATTTGTACATGTAAATAGGTGATGGTTCACTCTAAGGGTGAGGAGTGGACACAGAGCTGAAGTGCCTGGGATCCAATGGATCCCAGTCTGGTCTCACTACCATTGCCCAACAACATGGAGTGCAGTCCAGACCTAGTTGTTGTACTGGCCTGGAAATAAGAAAGGTACAGTGGCACCTTGGTTCTCAAACTTAATCTGTTCTGGAAGTCTGTTCCAAAACCAAAGCGTTCCAAAACCAAGGTGTGCTTTCCCATAGAAAGTAATGCAAAACGGATTAATCCGTTCCTGACTTTTTAAAAAACCACACATCATCATAATAATAATTTATTATTTATACCCCGCCCATCTGGCTGGGCTTCCCCAGCCACTCTGGGCGGCTTCCAAAAGAATATTAAAATACATCAAAACAGCAATTTAACATGAATTTTAAACACACACCTAAAACAGCAATTTAACATGAATTTTACTATCTAACGAGACCATTGATCCATAAAATGAAAGCAGTAAACAATGTACGGCAGTCACACAATCAATCAATCAATCAATCAGTAGCTCAACTGGGTTCCACATATTCACAAAAACAAAAAAAAGAACCGCAAAAACAAAAACGCAAAATAAATAGCAAAAACAGACAGACCTCAGCATAACTCTCAAAACGGAAGTGTGGCACTCAGATCAGAAGCGTAACGCTCAAAATGGAGCACGTTCAGCTTCCAAAAAAAGTTTGCAAACCAGAACAATTACTTCTGGGTTTGCAGTGTTTGGGTTCCACGTTGTTTGAGTACCAAGGCGTTTGAGGACCAAGGTACCACTGTATTGGGCAAAATCATCCTCTCCACCCACCCAGTGGAAGGAGCGAGGGGGGTTAAAGCCAAGCAAGCCCAGCTCAGAGTGAGGCCTAGCAGCCCAGCAGAGGCTGTGCCGTCTTCCTCCTTTGCCCCGCCATTCTGAAGCTCAGGCAGCCAGTCTCAGGGCACGGTAGGCAGAGCTGCCCGGGCTGGCGCCAGCGCTGAAAGGAGCTCACCAGGAGATGATGGCAGGTCCAGCCCATGCGCTGCCCCCTTCTTTCCCTGCCCAGATGCCAGCAGGCAGTGACTAAGTCCCCTCTGAAGTGTAGGTGGGTTCAGGCATGACCCAAGACCGAGATTCAGTTCAAAAAAGGACTTATTGGCACATCAGGAACAAGAAGAACAAGAATGACAAACAGGGGCACTTGGCCCAGTATATATACCTTAAGCTGGCCTGTGATAGGTCACCTTAAGGCTGCAATTAGCGAATCACAACACTGGCCCTATCTCAGCAGGGATTGGCTGCCTACCAGCTACTAGCAATGTCATTGGAGGATTTAAGAATCTTCTCTGTCTTTTGTGATGCAGATGAAACTCCTGAACTCCAGGAGACTTGAAGGCCTGGGACTGCTTTGCATGCATGCAACCTGGCTTTGGTCTACAATACCTGCATAAATAACACCCTCCATGGTCTAGGGACTCATGGGGGACTGGGTCTAGTCTGAAGCCACCGGAGGAGAGATGGGGAGGGAAAGCACCCTGGGAGAGAGGGAGGTGGGTGGGTGATGAGGTGTGTTAACTGTGTTAACTGAGCCAGTGTGGTGTAGTGGTTAAGAACAGTGGGCTCGTAATCTGGTGAACAGGGTTCGATTCCCTGTTCCTCCACATGCAGCTGCCTTGGGACATGCCTTGGGCTAGTCACACTTCTTTGAAGTCTCTCAGCCCCACTCACCTCACAGAGTGTTTGTTGTGGGGGAGGAAGGGAAAGGAGATTGTGAGCCGCTTTGAGACTCCTTAAGGGGAGTGAAAGGCGGGATATCCAAACTCTTCTTCTTCTTCTTCATGCGGCTACGATGGAGAAGGAGGCTGAGACAGCTTTATACAGTCAATTGAGGGGCAGCCCCAAATATTTTGTGGGAAACCTGAAGGGGTCTGGGCCCCTTAGAGTTGGCGCTTATGCTCCCGCCTTCTGCTACGCCTCACACAGCTTGGGTGTGGATGTGCTGGTGGCGCTGCCATCTTGTGAGGCCTCACTGGATGGGGTGCTACCAGAGTGCACCTCAAAATAGCCATGTACCCAGCAATGGGTCACATTCCCTTGCTATCTCCTCCCTTCTCCTAAGGAACATGGAAGCCCCCTGTCCCAGAGTCAGACCATTGGGCCATCTAGCTCAGTAAATTAGTCTACACTGACTGGCAGCTGCCCTCCAGGACCTTAGACAGGGATCCTTCCTCCCCCTCAATGCCAATTTATTCTTACATTTCTTATTTTTTTATTATAAATAGAGTTTAGTGCAGCACATTAAATGATAGATAACATAGACACTAAGCACAACAGCAAATGCCTCTTCTTTCACCTTGCCTATGACAAGCCAGCTTATATAGACAATTCAGAAACGCAATAAACACAAAAAGATACATAATCTCTTGAAGTATTACATCGTCAGTGTGTTTTATAGCACATTCCCCCACAAACAGATTTGCGCTCAAATCAGTTTAAGGAGAAGAAGCACTCCAAGTAGAACAGTACAATAACCATAAGAAGGTGTAATTAAAAAACCGATATCACTACAACACCAGGGACTGAGCAACCCAAACTCTTGATCTGTCAAGGTGGAGGTGGGGTCTACTCTGAGTAGGGCTAACATTGGATTCAACCCTCAGTCACATGATCAAGTTATCTCATATCTCAAGTTATTGTAGTAGCACTGACAATTTACAAATCAATCTTCGTCACAATTAAATCTACAGCACAGGGTCTTCCCATCTTGAAAAAAAATCTGTATGAAATTTTCTTTTACCTGTACTATAAAATGCTAAACTAAGGAAAACAAGCAAACAAACAGATTTTGGGGTTGTTTCAGGGAATTTTTTGCCTGTGAAATGGTGAAATGCCGATTGTAATAATGCCGATACTAATAATATCTCTTCTCGCAGTTTGCTTATGTCTGGCAGTTTATACAGAGAGTGTGTGGAAACTCAATAAACCACATCTCCACAAACATTCCAAAACATGAATTTCTTTTGTATTACCTGGGATGGGTGGAATGTGTGTGTGAGAGAGACTGAAAAAGACCTATAGCGCTTTAAAGTGCTCTCGGCTATGATTTGCAAGCTGTTTTATTACTTTGAATTTGCACCAGCAGAGGCCGCTACACACCTTGTGAACCACGCATGAGAAAAGCAATGTAATTAATTATGAGTAATAAATTCATATCCTCCACCACCCTCGAGAAATTGGGTGTGATGCGTAAATTTGATACCCTGCCAGCTAACGTAATGGAGCAGCAACAGAAATTGCACAAAGATTTCCATGCAGATTATTCATGTTTACTGACGCAGGCTAAAGATAGCTAGGCTTCTCCCAAATAAAACACACTGCCTGGCACTCAGCAATAAAAACAGATAAGCTGGGTGCTCTAATGCAAAACACCGAACGAGTTATTTACATGGGCTGCTCTGTAAGACAACGTTCTCCACGCATGGTCTGTAGATGTTGTTGGGCTATGGCTTCCAACATTTCTGAACTTGTAGCCATTCTGACTGGAGATGATGTGAGTTGTAGTCACCCTGCTGAACCAGACAAGAGGCCTATTAGGGCCACATCCACACCACACATTTAAACAGCAATGGTTTTCCCCAAAGGATTCTGGGAGCTGGGGGGGGCAGGGGTGCCATGGTCCCAGGCGCACAACCAGGCACTCCTGCACAGGCCGGCAAGGGAAGCAAGCCGGAGGCAAGTAAGAGAAGAGGCAGCACTGATGGTATCAAACACCGAAGTAAACTGGCAAAAATGTATAAATCTAAATCAAATAATGTAATACTTGGAAATATAAAAAAGAAAGAAGGTTCTTTTTATCATATGTGGTGAATACAGCTCAAGATATTATGGGCTGTCCCGTGAATACGCTGGATGAAAAATTGGAAGAACGTTGCCTCAGGAGAGTGAGGAAAATTCTCAGGGATGATTCACACCCTGGCCGGCACTTTCTTGATCTCCTGCCCTCAGGCAGAAGATATAGAAGCATGATTAGTCGCACCAACAGGGTAAAGAACAGCTTCTATCCGTGGGCTGTTAGGCTGGTTTGGTGGGTGTGCGTCAGTAAATGAGGGGAATTAATTTTGACTAAGAGAACTTGACTAAGAGACCCTGATGTTGGGAAAGATTGAGGGCACAAGGAGAAGGGGACGACAGAGGACGAGATGGTTGGACAGTGTTCTCGAAGCTACAAACATGAGTCTGACCAAACTGCGGGAGGCAGTGGAAGACAGGAGTGCCTGGCGTGCTCTGGTCCATGGGGTCACGAAGAGTTGGACACGACTAAACAACAACAAGAAGAAGAGAGCTGAGTGGGAGGTGCTCGTGTAATCTCACTGTATACAAGTTGTACAATAAAGTATTTCAATATGTGGTGGTCTTGTAAATAAAAAAACCCAAACAATTGTCCGGTAGCACCTTAGAGACCAACTAAGTAAGACCAACTAGAGACCAACTAAGTTTGTTTGCACACGAAAGCTTATACCCAGAACAAACTTAGTTGGTCTCTAAGGTGCTACTGGACATTTATTTATTTATTTATTTATTTATTTATTTATTTAGACTGCGTCAGACCAACACGGCTACTTACCTGAATCTAGAATCATGGAAGGCACCACATTGAGCCGCATGAAATGGAAGTCCATCAGCCTCACAAAGAAACTTGCACAGATACAGACTGATATCTCCTTTCTGACTAACTGCAAGAACCTGGACATTATACCTAAGGGTCTTAGAATTAAGAACCCTCTACAATCCACCTATCCTACTGAATATCCAAAGAAACTATGCCACACTTTCTCCAAGAAGTTGCTCAAACATCTGATCGGCGTTCTGTACTCTAAACAGAAGCAAATAAAGGAGGAACTCTCTGTACTGGACAACTCTACAAGGAATCACCCAGCTTGGCAAAAAGTTCCACAAGGAAAGACAAACTATTTACGACTCTCAACTGGAGTTACTGAAAAAACAAAAAACTCTCTAACCTTTCCAACCCACAGGCTACCAATCAAAACAACATGATCAACAATATTGTCAATCTCTCACAGCAAACACTCAGCCCAGCTGAGGAATCAGTCCTTTCAAGTGGTCTTGGAGTAAGCTTAAGACTTACTGGGAAATGATATACAATGAAATGAAAAAGATGTTTAAAATAACGTTTGTAAAACAAACAAACAAACAAACCAGAAGCCTTTCTCTTGGGAATTATAGGGCCAGAGCTACCTAAATTGTATAGAAACATATTCATGTGGCTACAGTGACAGGAATGTTACTTGCCCAAAAATGGAAAGAAGTCCCAGCAAAGGAAGAATGGATACAAAAACTTATGGAATATGCAGAAATGGCAAAACTTACCAGAACAATAAGAAATCAAGATAACAAACTTTTTTATAAAAGAATGGGTTAGGGTTAGGGTTATTTACAGATAAATTGTAAACTGATAAAAACACTGGCAGAATTATTATAATAACCTGCAGTTACATAAGAGTATATATTTAAAGAAGATAAATAAATGAGTAAGTTAAGTTGGATATGCAGAAGACATTAAAAATAAATTTAAGGAACTGCAGAAAGAAGATGAAGAAAGCCAAGTTTTAAAACGTCAAATGATTGTAAAAGCAGTGAAATGTATATATCTGAAATGTATAAATAAAATTTTTAAAAGAGAGAGAGAGAAGAGGCAGCAGCCCTTGCAGTGAGATAGCAGGGATGTCCGAAGAGTGCCGTCCCTTTTCTACTCGAGACACAGGTTTAGGAAACCAAAGAGAATATGAAGGAGCATGGGCTGAGCCGATAGTTTCCCGGTGCCAGTTTTTTTGTTCTTTTCACCTCAGGTGACAGGCACCCTCCTTGCCACCTGTTTTTACTTTCGCTTTCGTCAAAATTAAGGCACGCAATCTCAGTCAAAGTGGCATTTGTGGTGACGTGGGCAACCCATGAGACCACTGCAGCTTGGTTGCTCCAGTGGCATCGATGTTTAGGGCTGGGCTGGTGCGACAGGCTATGTTCACCATCAGTGTCCTGCCCCCCGTTATGCCCCCACAGTGCCCTAGACCCCAGCAACCCATGCTATGCTGCTGGCTGTAGAAGTGTGCTGGGAGAAGAAGAAGAAGACGAAGATGAAGACGAAGACGAAGACGAAGACGAAGAAGAAGAAGAAGAAGAAGAAGAAGAAGAAGAAGAGTAGTAGTAGTAGTAGTAGTAGTAGTAGTTTGGATTTGATATCCCACTTTATCACTACCCGAAGGAGTCTCAAAGCTTCTAAAACATTCTCCTTTCCCTTCCTCCCCCACAACAAACACTCTGTGAGGTGAGTGGGGCTGTGAGACTTCAGAAAAGTGTGACTAGCCCAAGGTCACCCAGCAGCTGCATGTGGAGGAGCAGAGACACGAACCAGATTACGAGTCTACCGCTCTTAACCACTACACCACACTGGCTTGTTAGGAGAGTTGTTAGGAGACCCCTATTTCCCTTCCAGATCTACATTTCCCAGAGCAGCTCCAACGATCATTCCCTCTTCACATGGAACTCTGAAAATTATGAACTCTGTGGAGGGAATGGTAACTCTCAGCACCGTTAACAAACTACAGCTCCCAGAATTCTTTGGGGGAAAGCTGTGAGTGTTTAAAATAGTATCATAGTGATTTAAATGTATGGCGCCAGTGTGGCCCTAGGCAAGTGATCTGTCATGCCAGCCAGATGCTTATGGGAAGCCAAAGTTGTCCACCACCACCTAAGGACCAATGTTAGGGAAGGCTTCTGCAAGGCTGGGAGAGGAGCTGTCAACTGAGTTTCCAGCAGGAGTGCCAGAGCCACTCCTGCCAATCAGGCAAAGGAATTGGCATCATGGCCATAACAGGACTCGGCACCTCCTCAAGCCCTGGGATCACCCTTGGAAGCCACAAGCAATCATTGGGGAAATGTGAGATTCTTCTTCTCCTGAGTTGTTTCACAAAACCAGCATAAACCAAGAAAGGTAAGGGTAGGCAAGGGGACCCTGGGGGAGTGGACACACTACTCCAATACCCTTCAGGACATAGCACCAAGCCTGGTCAGAATCCTCTCACCTAGAAGCTCTATGTAGCCCACCCGTTTGCCCTCAGATCTGCAACAGCCATCAGTGACTGGTTCTCACTGATGTATGGAAGGCACTGGGTCCAGCAGTAGGTGGACAAACATGATGTCAGGGACCGTGCTGAGGAGGAATGGTGGGAGCCACCCCCTCCCCCTGCTCCTGCTCCTGAATCTTGTCAAGAGCAGGAGGACAGTATAGATTTGGAACAGTGGTTTGCAGAGGGGCATAGTTCAGAAGGCAGAAGCTGAGAAATACTGGATGGGGAACACCTAGGAGAAGAAACATTGGAAGAGAGAGGGTTAGTAGATTCACAGTCGTTGGACAGCATCCCTCCGCTCTCCCCAAGGTCGAGAAGAGCTCAGAGAGTCTCAGAACAGAAAGCACAGAGGGTACAAACTCAGATTACGAGATGTAGGAGTGACGTAGATTAATAGGGATGGAGGGGGTGTAAGCCTTAATTGGGAGCACCATCATTTCTGGGAGACAGGTTCTTTGTTCTCTCACTGTGAATATTAAAGATTCTAACTGGTAAGAAGCTCCTTTCATTTGATCTTTGTTTTACTGCCACAGAGGAAGGAAGCTGATTCCTCAAAGCCTGACACCCAATGACAGACAGGACCAACTAATTCTACTTTTGTCCCCCATCCTCCCCCCTGCTGAGGCCAACTGAGACTGAGTCTACGGAGGAGGAAGGGGACAGCCAGTGCCACTTGGTGTACTGGAGGCAGGCAGATGGGAGCTGGCTGAGGGCAGACGGAACAAGGTGGATTGGTGGAACAGGGTCCCATTCCCTCAAATGGATCAGCTTCCACTGAACTGTAGAGTGGTATTGATGAAGAGAAGCAAGCAGGCCACCTGCTTCCCCTTAGCAACACAGTCTTCTACCCAGGCCAGAAATTCCCTTATGAATGCAGTAATACATGGAGGATGCCTGGAGATGCCATTAGACAGATTAGTTTTCTGTTACACAGGAACCCACAATCATTGCTGCATGATCTCAGGATCTGTACAGAGTCTCTGTCATTTGCGTCACATGACACCGTCCTTCCCTCTTAGCATGATGCGCAAAGTATTTCTAAGAGATATTGTTGCTGTGGAGAAATAGCAGCAAGATACAATTCCATTATCATGTCCACCTACCCTGGGAGATGTTTGAACAAACATCTTTGAGTCTAGTTAGGTCTATTAGCATTTTAATTATTTACTCCCTGTGGGAAGGCTTCTTCAATTATCCCTCCCTCTCTCCCCTCACAGTGGTACTCTACTCTTGTTTCTTTCAGCTCCAAAATTTAAACTCAAGCAACCACCTTTATGTACAGGCATCTCACGTAGACAAGATGGCCAACTGTTTGCCATTGTGAAGAAGACACTCACTCATAACAGGCAGGCGTCATGAGGTATCCTGGAGTGATTGCTAATGTCCCAGTTTTGCAGGCCTGTGGGAGTAGCCATATCCACCCTCAGCATTGCTCCTGGGAATGACACTGGTCCACACAGCATGCTGAACCATGGCTTAGTGTGACTGCACAAGCATGCAAACTCCTGAAGAAGAGATCCCTGCTGCTTTGTTTCTCCTTGGCCATACTGCTGCTGTGCCTTAAGCTATGGCTTAGCATGTCATCCGACCTGGGCTCATGGTTTTGCTCTCCAAGATAAACCATGAGCAGTAAACCGTAGGACAAACCCTTGGTTACATCCAATGGTTTGTCTGGGGGAAGCCAAACCATGAGCTTGGTTGGAATGATGCACTAAGCCAAGCCATGGCTTAGTTCAGAGCAGCACAGCACAGCAACAGACTGGCTAGGAAGGAACAAAGTGACTGCGATCTCCTTTCCTGGAGCTTGCAAACTCCACATTCACACTAAACCATGGTTAGCATAATGTACAAACCGGGCCATTGCCATGATGTAGCATTATCCCAATTGCAGCAGCTTACAAATATTCTGATAGACTGTTTGATGCAGCTCCAGCACCACTTGAAGCTTTCTCTAAAGAGAGAATTCTACAGCCCTCTGTTGACACATGTTAGTGGCAAGTCTCACCCCAATGGAAATTGCTAGAGCTATGAACATAAGAGCCTGCTGGATGAGACCAATAGCCCATCTAGTCCAGTATCCTGTTCACATAGCAGCCAACCAGATAGCTGTGGGAAGCCTGCAGGCAGGATTCTGCCCACCTGCCAATGGTTAGGGACAATGGGAGCAACAGTTCAGCTATATCAGGAGGACTTGAGATATGCATTAACCATCTCAGTGCTGGTGGTGGGAGGAATGGGACCCCAAGGTTCTAAATTTATCCACTATACTTCACTGCCACATTGCCTTCTGCTAGGATCTTTATTTTCGATTTTGACATATTCAGGGATGGTAATTAGCAGTTACAATGCAATATAACCCAGTTCCATCACATACCTGAGAAGCGAGATGTCATGTTTTAATGAGAACACTATTA